ACGCACCCCGGGGCCTGCTCTCCGCAGTCTGGGAAGACTTCTCTGCCCTGAGATGCTTTGTTGGGAGGCTTCATCCTTGGGTCAGAGGCTTCCAAAGAAGGGCTGGAAGTGGGCAGGCTGGATGTATTTCTGAAGACTTCTCTCCACACAGCTCCTGATCCTTAGGTGAAAACAGTGCAGACTGAGAAACGGCATCAGGGCTTGGACTGCAGTGCACTGGCACGGCCTCTCCCAGGGAACCAAAGCTACTGGACACACCAAGGGCCCCTGGGAGGACCTTAAGGCCAGACGGAGCCCCCTGTCTAAAAGGACCGGCCTGGCAGGTGCATGTTGGATGGGATAGGTCCTCAGTCTGCACGAGTGTCTTGGAAGAAGGTGCTGGTTGCTATCTTTACCATCTTCATCTGTTTTTTTGTTTTTCTTTTCTTTTCGTGATGCTCTGGATTACACCCAGGACCTGGCACATGCTAGCTAAGTGATCTCTCACTGAGTTAAATTGTACTTTTTAAAAAAATTTTTGTCTTTTTGAGACAGAGTCTCTCTATGCAGTTCCGGCTGGCCTTGAGCTCACAATGATCCTCCTGCCTCAGCCTCCCCAGTGCTAGGATTGCACCACCATGGGGTGTACCACCATGCCCGACTTAAATTTTACTTATTTTAAGGCGGGTCTCGCTAAGTTGCCCAGGCTGGTCTTGAACTTGTGATCCTTCTACCTCAGCCTCCCGAGTAACTGGCATTTTTATCTGTTTTGAAAATGGACTTTAAATCAACTCCTAAGCTTGCCTTAGCTCCTTGCCATGGAGAAAATTATTTAAGGAAGCAAGAAGATTTTAGGATTAATTTAGAAGAATTAATAAATAGACTTCTAAAGGGTATTAGAGTTGAGTAATTCCTGCATCCCTTTATCCCCCACTCAATGTGAGTGGCATCATAATTATTGGATAATCTTGAAACCTTTAAGACTTATTAGAAAAAGGTAAAGCATTGTAGAATATCAGGACCTTCATTATCATGGGAATAAATACTTCCTGCCAGGTGTGGTGGTACACACCTGTGATCCCAGAAGTTTGGGAGGCTGACGCAGGAGGACGAAAAGTTTGACCCCAGCCTAGGGAACTTAGCAACTTAGAGAGGCTCTGTCTCAAAAGTTTAAAAATAATAATAATACATTTAAAAATGCTGGGGTTGTAACGCAGTGCAAAGGCCCTGAGTTCAGTTCCTATTGCTGCAATTAATCAATCAATGATAGTTGCAAGCATTGGAGCTAAGAAAGCGGCCCTACTATGGTGCATAACCTGGCTCCGGGCAGTGTGGGCTGTGGTCCTGTAGCACCCAGCATAGCCTGGAGCTTTAGGAATACAGACCCTTACCCAGAACTACCCAAAGGAATCTGCAGCTTTCCCAGGAGCGCAGGTGGCTGCTGAGCAGGTGGGAGTCGGAGCCCTCCAGCTCGTGGCTGGTGCCGCAGCCTGTGGCCTGTTCCCACACTGCTACTGCCTAGTTCTTGGTTTTATTGTTGGGGCTGAAGTTGTTCGTCTTAACCCAGTGCTCTTATGAGATCTGTAGGAAAGGGAACGACTGAGAAGACCCCCAAGCCAGTGTGGCTGGGTACCGGACTCATGCGGAACCATGGAGCCCACTCCCGGGACCCTAGCCGACCCAGGCAAAGGGGAGGAAACCTTCTCAATGGGGAGATCCCACTTCCGGCTGTTCGCTCCATCTAAATTCTGTGGCGCCCTATTTCCTGTGTGGAGGCTGCCCCTGGCCGTGATCCCAATAGGCAGACACTTTTTTCCATAGTGAAGATGAATGTGTTAAGCTATTCACACATTTTCTAGCCCCCATCCCTGTGACAAAGGATGTATATTTATGAAATAGCTGGTTGAGGGTACATGGCTATATATAATTTTCTTTTTGGAGCCATGAAGTATGTTTTTTTTTGTTTGTTTGTTTGTTTTTTTTTTTTTGCTTTGAGATTCTCTGGCCGCTTGAAGGAACAAATCCCGACCTTGCTCACTTTAGCAGCATGACCTAATCAGAAAAATAACTGGCACAAATGTTCCTTTACCCTTAAGAGAAAAAAGAAGAGTAAGTTATATTTAATTAGATATTTATCATCGCTCTTCAAGAGAAGTTCTAAGAAGCTGGCCCTCCTTCTAAGGCATAACTGTTCAAATTATCCTAAAAAGAGGCTGTATATCAGTCCAATTCAGTCTGTGATAAATTTACAACTGGGTTCTGCACAGCAGATTTATATCAACAATTAAGCAGAAGGAAAATGGGTCATAAATTTTGGCTGGCAAAGTCCGGCACCAAAGAGAAGAAAAGAGAACGGTTTAGCCAGATCAGAAGTCAATAATTTCAATATCAAGTGCTAAAGCTGTAGCAAAAACAATTTAAGTGGAAAGAAGTTGTTTTTCTCTTCTCCTACCCTTTTCAGAATTATAATTGGAATTATATGTATTTTAAATATAATGAAGTAGCCAAATAGCAGAGGCTTTATCAGAAAATTGGTATATGTTTTTGACTTTATAAATGGTATAAATCTTTCCCTTCTCCTCCACCACTGAATGTAATGACTGCAGTTCCTCTCAGTGTGATGAGGACACCAGGGTGACTTCACCCAGGAAGTGTGTGAAAGGTCTGAACGTGTCCCCCAGATCTCAGATGTTGGAAACCTGATCCCCCAATTCCCATGTCGATGGTGTTTGGAGCAGGGGCCCTTCCTTGGGAGGTGATCGGTTGAGATGGAGGAGCGCTGAGCTGGATCTGGACCAGACTGGTCCATTTTTAATTAATGCCCGGAGGAATCCTTGAGATCTAGCCGAGGTACCAAGGGAAGGGCAGGCGACTTCTCAGAGCACGTTTAAAGGAAATAAATAGGGAGAAACCCAAAAGGCTTCATATTTGGACCTCACTTAGTTTACCCTGCTCAAAATCCTGGTTCGGCAGCTATCCCAGGCTGACCTGGAGACCCTGCCTGGGAATGACGGTGCATCCCAGGGATCGCGGGGCCAAGAGAAGGGAGTGAGCAGCTGGCGGACAGGACTGGAGTTTTGAGTCAAGCTGTTCCTGAAGGTGGTCTGACCCTCCAGAGCTGCCAGTTGTGGAAAGTCAGTAAGCCCATGAGCCAAGCTAGGTCTCGATTTCTGCACTGCCTGCAGAAGGAGTCCTAACGGATACAGGGCACATATCCATTCTCTCTCTGGGGCAGGACGTGGCCCTAACCAGATGTCCAAAGGGCACTGCTCTAGGAGGAAATGGCTCAGGCAGAAGAAGCTCTGGAGGTCCTACGCAGTGACCTCACTGACAAACACAAGGACAGGCTAAGCTGATCATGGTGGTGCCCACCTGTAATTCTAGCACTTGGGAGGCTGAGGCAGGGGGACTGTTGTGAGTTCGAGGCCAGCCTGGGTTACGGTGAGTTGAAGACCAGCTTGAACTGCATAGCAAGACCCTGTCTCAAAAAGACCAAAAAAAAAAAAAAAAAAAGGACAGGCTTGGAGGATGTTTTCCAGGATGTCACAGAACAGCTACACCAGGTCAGCAGTGTGTGTAGGGAGGATTTGGAACCCCGAAGCCAGCATTAACTGGCACTCAAGAAATATTTGTTGAATGGAAACCAGCAGGAAAATTATAACAAGTCATACTTCCCATGCAAATTTTCAGGAATATTTGCAGGAAAATATTGAATGTGTGAACATCTAATCTGCATTTCCATCTCCTGACAGATGGTCCAGATGAACAGAGCTTTGATTATAGTAAAAAAAAGAAAAAAGAAAAAAAAGAAGTAAATAAATAAATAAATAAAAGAAGAGTGAAAGAAAAGAAAACCTACAAACACTCACTGAGTGGGTGCTGTGAGTGACGCTATATGAAACAGTGCTATGGTGACTATCAAATTTATGTTTGTAAAAGGACAACTCAGTATTCCTGTTTGTCGAAGACCAGCAAAATGTTCCCAGGAGAGAGAACGAGCGGGGTGAGCATGGATGGGGCAGAGCACTGGGCTCTTGGAGGAGGGCCCTGGGCCCTGGGCAGGGACCTCCTGCTTCACAGTCACGGGAGATCTTTGTTGAAATGCAGGTTCCTGGGCCCCAGCTCTGAAGGCGGGGCCCGGGAACCTGCATTTCAACTGTCTTCTCAGATGGCTTTGTGTGCATTAAAGTTTAAAAGCCTTTTCTTGCTGCAATTGGTTTATTTGCTCATGGGGTGTCCTCAGTGCCTGCGAACTTGGGACGTGGGCCCCTCGGGGGAGAAGCTGCCGTCCTAGGCTGGGAGGCTGAAGGAAGCCACAGTATGACAGTGTCACCCCCCCCCCCCTTGAGGTCAGAGCTAGGTCAGTCTCACCGGAGGAAAGGGGCTGTGTGTGCGAGGACATCAGCACACTCAGACATGACCACGTGTGGAACCAGGCGGCACCTCCTGGGAGCAGCTCTCTAAGTGACGCCATGTTCTGGACTTGAGGGAGATGGGTTGGTTGGTTTGTTTGTTTTTGGTACCAAGAATCGAACTCAGGACCTTGCACTTGCCAGGCAGGCACTCACACCACTGAGCTAAATCCCCAGCCCTGGGAGATGTTGTTTAATGGCTATAACTTGTTTCTCAATTGGCTACCAGATACCCTCATGGTCAAAGTCATGGCTGCTACCTCTTGGAGCTTTTGCCAGCCTCTACTCTCCTAGCTGCCACCATATCTGCCAGGCACTTGTTAGATGCTTTGGCGATCTTCTTTCCTTCCTTTCTTTCTTTCTTTCTTTCTTTCTTTCTTTCTTTCTTTCTTTCTTTCTTTCTTTCTTTCTTTTCTTTCTTTCTTTCTTTCTTCTTTCTTTCTTCTCTTTCTTTCTTTCTTTCTTTCTTTCTTTTTCTCTCTTTCTTTTCTTTCTTTCTTTCTTTCTTTCTTTCTTTCTTTCTTTCTTTCTTTCTTTCTGGCAGGATCTTGCTATGTAGTATAAGCTGGTCTTGAGCTTGCTTATGTAGCCCAGGCTGTCTCAAACTCACAGCAATCCTCCTGCCTCAGCCTCCTGAGTGCTGGGATTATAGGCGTGTGCCACCATGCCCAGCTTGGTGATCTTTACTTTAATCTGCCTTCTGATTTAGTCACATCCAGGGGCTTCATGTCCCTGTGCACCTTCCTGGCACCCACTGTATGCTTCCTTCAGGAAGTCTCCCTCCCAGGTCCTTGGTGGTTCGCTTTGTGTGTGCTTGATCCCAGGCTGGGTCCATAGGTGCCCCCAGAGCATGACAGTTGGCTTCTGAATGGGTAGCTATCTTATGTTCCAATCAGAGTGATCTTCATGACCCTTGCTGGGAATTGGAGGCCACAGATCTTCTCATTCCGTGGCGAGGAGCAAGGAAGTGGGTAGTCACAGACCGCCCAGGCATTCAGAGGACAGTGAGATTGAGAACAGGCTGCACAGGAGGAGCAGACAGGGGCTGGGAGCAGAGGAACCCAATCCGAGCACAGCTCTGAGGCCTGAATAAAGATCTGCCTGAAGCCACATCTATTCCTGAGTTGTGCAATAATTTGTACTCACAGAAGCAAATTTATGAATCTGTTTCATTTTAGTTTTGCTGAAATCGATTTGAGTCGGGGTTTTGGTACATGTGATGAGGTGAACCCTAACGGATACGCCTTCCACCGCCCTTTCCCACCCGCAGCAGTGACGTGTGCGGATCATCCGGGTCCTTCCATCCCCTCTCCCCAGTTTAGAGCAAATGTTAAAGAATAACATGTGACACAGGATAAGATAGGACGTAGGATTATTGGGATTCATGCCTTGTAGAGGCTCCATGCCTGAAGAATATTGATTAATGGATCAATGTCAATCTGAGGGAAGCCCTGTTCTGTTCCACATTTTAATCAGTGACTTGGATGAAAGGGGAGTCACGCCTGGTGCGTCTCGGTGACACAAAGCTGGAGGACCTGCTAATATGACAGATGGGGAAATCAAGATTCAAAATTATTTTGACTGACTTGAGCAGTAATAAGGATAAATACAAACTCTCGCATCGAGACTCCGAAGATCAATCGGGGAGCAGCGGGCCGGAGAGACCCAGCCTGACAGTTGTCATAACAACACAGAACTCCGAGCTGACCTCCAGCTCGCATGGAGCCGGGAGCCGAGGCAGTCGGTGACACAGCTATGCAGCTTTCAAACGTTTAAGCATTTATGGAGAACAGCGCCAAGCTTGCCTCTACTTCCCTAGCAGGATAAAGAAGCGGCATTTTCTGGGAAATGGTTTTCAGTTCATGCATCAAAGTTTTTTCCTAGTGATTCCAGTACCAGAACAAGCCCCCTTCCAAAATTATGCATGTGGTAGTAACAACAGCAGCAGGTGATGGGATCGCACCATGGGGGCTTGCCTGGTAAAGCACAGATTCTTTTCCTTTTCCTTTTTTGCCTCTCGCGCTTACTAGGTTATTAAGCTGCTTAGTCTGGACTTGAGATTGTGATCCTCCTGCCTCAGCCTCCCAAAGTACTGGCAATGAAGGCCTGAGCCACCACAGCCTTCTAAAGCACAGCTTTTTAAAAAACAGTAACAATTTATAGGTCCAAGCAATTTGATGCATCAGGCATCCAGAAACAGCATGGGCGCAGGAAAGGAGCTCAGCTCAGCCCCCGCGTGAGTCGCCCTGAGCCCCCAGAGGGAGCTCCCAGAATTCCCAGAACTGCGTCGGCGCCACCCGGTCTACCTTCCTGCACCGTGACCTCCTCCCCGCGCTGCCGTCTTCACACTTGCCCAGCTCGGCCTGTCCTTGTGTCCCTGCCCCTTCCCCGGGGTCCTCTGCTCTGCCTCCCTCCTCCTCCTCCCGCGTAGCCGCCGCAGTCCCCGGCGGGGCAGCCTCACCTCCTTCCCAACTCTGCGGCTCACCCCGGTCTTCCTGGGCTGTCCTGCGCGGTGGCGGTACGTGCGCCACTTGTCTTTCCCCCTCTGTTTTTGTGAACACTGCATTTACTTGGTAGCCCAGAGACGCGGAGCAGGCGGGCGGCAGCCCTTCGCATGGCAGACCTCCGCGGGGTTGAAGCAGGGTGTTAGGGAGGAGCGTCCCCCTAGGCGCGCATGCTCACCTGCCTCTTCTGGAAAAGGTCCACCTCTCTCAGAAGCCGCTCCTGGCAGTGCGGGTTGGTGGCCAGCAGGTAGGTGGCGAAGGAGAGAGTGTTGGTGACGATCTCGTGGCCGGCGATGAGGAACAGGAAGGCCTGGCCCACGATCTCATCCACCGTGAGCGGCCGGCACAGGGCCCGGGGCTGGCGCGGGGGCGAGGGGTCTGTGGTGCGCGCTGCAGAGGACAGCGCGTCTCGGACCAGGTCGAAGCTGTCCACACCCACGCAGCTGGGGGAGTGCCGGGCGTCCAGCACCATCTGCAGGAAGTCTCTGCGCCGCTGAGGACAAGAGGGAACAACACGTGGTTGGGTCCTGGTGTCCCAGAGCCAGGCTTCTTGGGGGACAGAGGAAGAAGACAGGCGGGTACAGCCTGTAGGAGCGCCTGATGGGCATGGCTGTCACTGCGTTATCTGGGATGGCCAGGACCTGGAAGCAACCCAGCAGCCCTCTGTGTGGCGCTACCTTCACAGCTCTGGGGCAGTGAGGTACAGACTGCAGTGCTCAGGAAAAGTAGTCTAAAGGGCCGCGAGCGTGGATCAGTGGTGAGCTTTCACCCGGCCTGTGTGATGCCCTGGCTCTTTCCAGGGTCTTTCTTAAGTTGCTCAAAGGTGAGACTCAAACTTGCGATCCTCCTGCCTCAGCCTTCCTCAGTGCTTTCAGTGTCTACCACCACACTTTCTTCCCTTCCTTCTTCCCTTCTTTCTCCCCTTCCTTCCTTCCTTCCTTCCTTCCTTCCTTCCTTCCTTCCTTCCTTCCTTCCTTCCTTTCTTCCAGTACTGGAGGTTGAGCCTTGGGCCTTTGCACCAAGCTATATTTCCAATCCTTTTCATTTTTTATTTCGAGACAAGGTGTCCCTAAGTTGCTAAATTGCCTGGGTTAGATTTGAACTCATAACCCTCCTGCCTCAGCCTCCCAGGAAGCAGGACTTATAGGCATGTGCCACCGTGCCCAGCTGATTTCATTCCTTTTTTATGGCTGAGTCATACTCCAATGTGTACACATACCACTTCTTTTGTCCCTTCAGGATGAGGCCATTCTGTTTGGGCTGATCTGGAAGGCTGTGGTGTTGCTTCGTTAAGGAAAATAAAAGAGCAGCATGCACAGAGGGATTTCATTTCTGTGAAACCACTGAGAGTGCAACAAGTACAATTATGTGCGTGTGTCCACGTGAGGGAAATGTTTAGCGACATCTACCTTCACCCATTCCCAGGGGCTGGGGGAGGTGGGAAGCCAGGGGGTGTTCAGGTTTGACTTTCTATATATTCGCTGTGTTGGTTGTTTTTCTACCAACAAAGAACAAGAAAACACCATATAGACCCAAATTGGAGCCTGTGCGCTCCTGCACACGATTCAGGGTGCTGTGGGCAGCCTATGTTCTCTCCTGCAGCGGGGCTCAATGGAACCTGGGGTGGGAGGGCCCTGGCTCTGTGAAGCTTGTCCTCAAGGTCCCCAGACTTAGCATCGTCTTCCCACTGAGTCTTCTGCTTTCTCAGTAATCCCCAGCCCCGTATAAGTGGCTGGAGCTAGCCATTCCCCTTACCTTTCTTATTAGTCATTTGCATAGTCCTTATCCTTTATGGCCCCTAATTCTAACTATAGGGATGTTGGCATACTGCTTGAGCATTAGCAGTGTATCCCTGGCACCTGCCTTCTTTGAAATGCCCTCTAATGTGATGATCGGCAACCAAGATGTTGCTCTTTTCTGAAGCTTATGGGATTAAAACAGCAAAAGCATCTCAGAACCTCCAACAGGGAAATATTATAATTTCAAAGTACTAGTTGCAGCATTTTTTCAATTCGTTGGCTCCTGAATTTCTACTGCATGAATAATTTATGCCACACACACTGGCATCTAACTGCATCTTTTTAGTTTAGTTTTTTTTTTTTTCCTTGAGACAGGATCTTGCTATACAGTCTGGATTGGCCTCAAGCTTACAGTGACTCTCCTGCCTCAGCCTCTTGAGTACTGGGATATTCAGGTGTGCGCCACCACGCCTGGCAAGTCTATCTTTTTAGACTGTTGTCATTTCATGTGTGCTGCTCTTCTGAATCCTGAGATAAGAAGTATCCCTTGAGCAGGACCCTCGCCCCTTCCTCCCACCCGTGCCTGGCATTGTGCTGAGCACATAGTAAATATGCAGCCAGTAACTACGCAAGTCAAAAGGCAGAGCAGTGGATGCACTTTGAGGAAGGCTGGGTTGGGTTTGATGACAACAGAGCGCAGTTTAGAGAAGCAGGGCGGCTCAGGAGGCCTCTGCCGCTCTGCCACGTCCTGGCTTTGAGGGCTTGGAAAGTGTCTGCTGAGCGCCTACAAGGGCTCATGGCTGAGGCTGTGACCGTCACACGCCCGAAGCCCAAGGAGTTAAGGCCTCCCTTCCGCCCGGCCTGCTTGGACTGTGACAGCCAAGGAAAACCGCAAAGGGTCAGCGAGGGTCGGAGACCGCGCCCCGCCCTGGCCCTGCTCATCAGCACAGGATGGCACAGGGGAAGGGGGCGTCCGCTGTTCCCTGGCTCCTGGACGCTCCCCTAAGACCCTAGCATGTCCCTGGATCTCTCAGTTGGCCCTTTTTTCTTTCTTTCTTTGAGACAGGGTCTCCTTATATAGTTCAGGCTGGCCTTGAACTCACCGTGTGGGCCAGGCTGATGATCCTCCTGCCGCAGCCTTTCAAGTGCTGGGATTATAGTGGATTGGTCCATTTGAAACCTCTTGGGGCATAACATGTGATACAGCTCTGTTCCCGGAGGCTTTGTTATAGCTTTGCTGGGTTGGGATAGATGCAACCACGACCATCTCTACATATTTTCCAGGGGCAGAGCTGTAGCTGGCATCTTTCCTCCTACCTCGGCTGCCAAAGGGCCAGAGGAGTCTTAGAGAAATCTGTCTTAACCTCTTGCTAACAAGGCCAGAGGAAGGGGCTGCTCCCCAGGGGGTGTGCTGGAGCGGGACGTTAGTGTAGATGGGTTGCTTTTATTCACACTGTATCACAGAGGCAATCCCAGCACTGCCCATGCAGGACGGAAGCAGCGCTGGTTTATGGTTATATCCAAGAAAAATACGCGCCCTGATAGATGTAGGTGTCTAATCCACCCATCGGCTAGGGCTTAGAAAAATATTTACCTTTTAACATCTGTGCGGTATTTTCCCTGCGCAAACACACATCTGCTTGATGGAATGAATGCAGAGTTCAGCTGGCTTGAAAGCAAGTTTTTTTAGTAACCATATAGCTCTGTCTTCACACGGGCAGCCCTGGATTTGTGGTTGGGAGGTTTTTCTCAGATCAACTCATTATTTGAAACAAATAGCTGTAGAGTTTATAAAAGGAAAAGCTCTAGGCAATCCTGGTAATTGGATCTTTAATAACCTCTCACCTCTTAGTAAGTCACTCAGTGCAACAGCTTTTACATTTTCAGCTTGATTCCACAGCCAGTGAGTCTCAGGGTAGGGGTGTGGTGTGTATGCACGTGGGAGAGGGAGAGAAAGAGAGAGAGACAGAGACGGAGACAGAGGGAGAGAGAGAAAGCTTTCATAGGGCACCCTTCATAGAGCAAGACTGAGGTTTCAAAATGGTGCTTTCTAGCTGGGCGTGGTGGCACACACCTATAATCCCAGTACTCGGGAGGCTGAGGCAGGAGGATTGCTATAAGGGAGGCCAGCCTGGGCTATACAGTGAGTTCAAGGCCAGCCTGAGCTACAAAAGACCCTGCCTAAAAAAAAAAAAAGAGAAAAAGAAAAGAAAACAAACCATGCCCTTCCTGGATCCAGACAAACTTGCCACACGGTTCCCAGGGTGTGGGCTGCTGGGCACAGCGGCGCCTCACGCCTTCCTCCGTGCCATGCAGTGTGAGAAAAGCCTAAGCCCTTCCAGCCTTGTCTTTCCTTTCTGTGACTTTCTTTCCTCCAAGCAGGCCTTAAAGAGCAGTCCTGACGCCCCTACGGGCAGACCCACTGCTGGAGCGATCTCCCTCGGGCTGAAAAGTCCTATTCACGGCAAGTTCAGCCAACAGCTGCTTGCATGATCCCTACTACGTGCCAGGCAGAGCCGAGTGCAAGCAGGAAAGAAAACTCTGGGTCTCAGATGCGGGAGCTGCAGGGAGCATCGCCCAGCCTGGTCCCGCAATCGCCCTTCCCCGTGCAAGGAGCCTGGGCGCGGCAGGCAGTTGCCCAAGCTCCTCTCCCATAGCTACACTGTTTGAGCCCTGAAACTCCGTCTTGGCACGTTTCAATAGAAAGAACATGTTCATTCAAACTGCAAGGGCGCATTTACCTAGGAAGTTCTGCTGGGCCGCTCTCCCCTGCGCTGGAGCAGTGCTGGGCTGCTGACAGGCCTGGCGCAGATTTCATCCTGCGCCGTGGCCGCTTCTCCACTCTACCATCCCTCTCCCCTGCCGCGGCCCTTTCTCTTTCTGGTGTGACCTTCCTCTACCTTTCTCTCTGCTCTCTGCTGGCCCGGGAAAGCTCAGGGCCGCAGACCACCGAGGGGCAGTGCGGCGTGATGTGCAGGGGAGGGAGGGAGGGGAAGAGAAGAGGGCCCGTGCCAAATTAGGTTCCATTCCATTTCCAGGCTGTGCCCTAGTAAAACGCGTTACCTCTTCTGCTGCTTGCTGGTCCCGAAAGGCAATCCTGTTCCTAATGAGTTTGGTAAAAAAGCCGTTCAGTTCATCTCGGTTCTTATTGGGTAGAATCCGGGCCAGCGGGACCATTATGGACGGGAACGATACTTGAAAGAGAAAAACAAAAGTGCATTGCAAAGAGGGTGACAATAAACCACAGCTATTAGACTCCCATCGCCAGGAAGCAAGCGTCAGCCCGCAGTTAAGAGTCACCGGGAGGGCCTGGCCTGACCCCTGGGGATCGCTCCGAAAGCTGGGGCCACAGCCCGGAGTGTCTCTGCCCCTCTAGCCGTCCCCTGCGTGTAGTAAGCACTCAGCAATGAGCCCACCCCCAGCTGGCCCTCAGCAGGCTCATCTCAGGCTCCAGATCGATGTCACAAGGCCCCAGGCCACTGTATCAAGACAGGATGCGCTGCAGGCCGGGCCTCACATCTTAGCGAGGGCCAGGAGCTCACTTACTGCCTGAACTTTGCTGCCATTTGAATTTTCTTTCTCTGGATAGCTGTCCCCAGAGCAGCCACCTGTGCTGTCCCTAAAAGCTGCCACAGTCTCCATGTGACTCGGGCAGCCTGGGGCCTGTGTCCTCGGGGTCCGTGGGTCAGGCACACTTAATCCCTCTGAGAGAGGTGCTGGGCAGGGCCCCCAGGGCAGCCTGGGCCGGAGTGTGAGGGGGGCGGGGAGAGGCTGCCTGATTCCCACAGCGCCCCTCTTCCAGTTTCAGTGCGGAGCTGACAGAGGCGACAGGGGCCCCCACCGAACCTGGATCAGAAATGGGAACGAAATTGGCCGAGGCATGAACAGGACCTGCCAGCTCAGCAGAATGGCTGCAAATCACTCACTCATCAGTGACAATAATCACATCACTGTGCTGCTTCCATAAAGGCAGGAAGATGCTAGAGGTGGCCAGAGGGCAAAAACTCCCTTGTAAAATAAAAATAAAATCAATGGGCCAGTCTCCGCAGCATCGGGCCAGCTAGCCCGCGCTCTCTAGTTTATGACACAGTGGCTTCCAGTGGAGACAATATTTTTTTGGGGGGGAGGGGATGCCCCAGAAAATGAGGGCTTTGAGTTCTAGTCTTGGCTCTGCCTTTCTAAGCCTGTTTCCTCACCTGGAAAATGGAGACAAGAACCTTTCTCTGTTGGTTTGAGTCAGGTTTTCACTATGTAGCCCAGGCTGGCCTTGAACCCACAGTGATTCTCCTGACTCAGCCTCCTGAGTGCTGGGATTACAGTCGTGGGCCACCACACCTGGCTAAGCACACTTTTCTTTTGGGCTGAAGCCAGGACTAGCTGAAGTGATGTGTGCACGGCATTTAGCATGGTTTGTCAATTTTTGTGGTGAAGCAGAAGCTCTTTGTGTTTGAAATAAGACGCCCCAGGCACAGGAAGAGCACCCTGGTGGCAACTCTCCAGCGGCTTACGCCCTGAGGGGTGGAACCTTGAAAGCCGAGTTCAGGTTGCAGAGCGGGCTGTACTTACAGATTAGGACCAGGAGGGGCCTGGGGATGCTGACGGCAAAGAAGCGCCTGCAGTGCAGCACGAAGGGGTCCTCAGGATCTTTCTGCGAGTCCACCTGGGTGCCAAAGGCGACACTGGCCACCACATCGGTGGCGAATGCTCGGTAGCACCTACAGAGATGGGGACGCTTGAGTTTTGAAGGACGCTGACCTTGGGTACCCACAATGCACCCCTCCTGACAAAGCCAGGTGCTGCCATCCTGGCCCTCAGAGGAGCTTCCTGCAGCTTTGAGCGGGATGCTGGGAGAGAAGCTGTGGGCTGAGCAGCAATGGCAGCATATGGGAAGAGACGGGCACTGGGTAGGCTGAGGCAGGAGGATTGCCATGATTTCGAAGTGCCGTCTTAAATAACAATATTAAAGAAAATGGGAAGGGATGGGAAGCTATAGAGGAGAAACCAGTACAGGGTGTCACTTAGCCCTCAGGCTTCCGCTGGCCTTGAATGAAGGAGCAGAAGGAGGGGAAAGAAGAGACCCAAAGACTAGGTTTTACCCCACAGCTGTGCATGTGAATCTATTGATTCACCTCAGGCCAGAATCTATTGATTTATTGAAACCCATCAAACTGGTGTTGATGGATGAAGCACCTGATTATCTAGTTTTATTAACTTAGCTCCTCATGAGTGTACAGTTTTTAAAAGAGCAACAGACAGAATAAACAAGGCTCCTCACACTCAAATAAATACCTGGCAAGTTTTGCAGCAGGCCTCGTGATCAGATGTAGATTATTACACAAATACACACTGCACTTTGGAAGCAAATAACAGGAGAAGGAGCACCAGGAGCGCCAGAATACTTAACCCCTTTGGCTGTAGGAAGCCTGTCCCGTAAGAAGCTGTTTTAAACTACAATTATTCTTTCTGGTTTTCTTACAGGAATTCAGATAAAACTCTTTCTAAGAAGGCTGACAACTGGGGTGCTGGCCCCCTTTTATAATTACAAGGTCTATTTTTGTCCTTAATGCCAGCACTTGTTTAGCTCCCTTCTACCCTGGTTCTGCAGCCACCAACTTATCATTAAGGGACAAATGACATTGGCAGATGACTTCTGTTGAAAGCACTTCTTATAGCTGACCACACGTTTCCTCACTATGATAAAAACAAAAACGAGGCTACTGAATGTGAGTGGTCTGATACTAATGGTTGAAGATTTCAGGGTTTAAAGAGTTTAAAGCAAAGTTTACTTTGCTTTTACAGCTGACAGGGCCACCTTATCTATAGCCAAGGCATGTACCCTACAGTGACAGAGAATGTGGATGAGAAGCCTTGGTCGACAGTGTGGAGTTTTATAAATGTTGGCAATGACTATGCCATTATTTTATCAGCTGAGGGACTTAGGAGTCAGCTCCTAGATCTAACTTCCCCATCCTATTCATTCCTAAGCTGCTGTAAGCCATGTTCTGGCATAAAACAATTAAAAGTTTCTAAGCAAAAAGCCACATATTGTTTCAGTTTGGTGTCCACCCTAGGCATGGCTTCTACACAGAGCTGCCCATGGTTTTCTTAGACGTGAACATGCAGGATGTCCCTGGGTCCCTGTCCTTTTGCCCAGGCATGTCCTACCCCTGCGGGGCTGCGCAGATGGGAGGTCAAGTCCACCCACAGACTAACCACTGCCTACTTGAGCTTTGCTCAGCAAGGCATACAGCCCTGGGCTCTGGCTACTTCTGCTTCTCGTTTTAAGTGAATCTTCTTTCTTCTCATTAGTTGATCCAGCCATGCTTGTATGGGAGCCTCACATTTCCACAGCTCGCTGGGCCCAAGGAAATTGTCCCGCAATTGTGGGCAGTTACAAGAAGCAGCTGTTCCCAGCTGTGACCCCCCTCATCTCTAAGGCGGGCCCTTACCTCTGGATGTCACATGCGTCCCCCGATTCTGCACAGCGTCTTAAATGAGCCAGGAGAAGGTCACATGCTTGGCTGATGAGGGGCATCATCTGATAATGGATAACAAAGGAGTAATTAGAGTACCATGCAGGGAGGGTGTCTAATTTGGCTCTATTCTATGCTTTCTGAAGAAAAAAAAAAAAAAGTACTTTTTTGAGAGCACTTTTCCCACAGCTAAGATGAAGAAAGAAGTTCTAAAACTGACAGATATTTGTGAAATACAATAGCTGTAAACATCTATTTTACCTTAAGCACTCTTTTATTTTGCGGGCGAGCTGGGAGCAAAAAAGAAACGATTTCAAGATTTCAAGTAAATATGGAGAAATAATTATGAAAGTGTTCACTGACTGCTAACACAAAACCGAGAATCAGTGCTCAGTTTCATGACAAGGGTTTATAGCATGAGGATAAATAGACCACACTCCAAATGCCCTGTGTCTGGGGTTAACCCACGTCCACGCTGTGCCAGTTATACATTAGATCTTCCGCGAGAACACAGAATCTTCGTCTCCAAAGGAACCTAAGGTCAGAGATTTCAGCTTCTTAATTAACCCAGGAATTATTTTTAGAGCGTGTCTGATGGATGGGGTTGTTCATGTGTGCTTAATCTGCTTAAACCTTCGAACACTGGATAACCCTTGACCTCAAGGCAGCACCTATCCCATGCATGAAAATTGTTGGTTGCTTTTTTAATATGAAGATATTTTTATTATGGAAAATTTCAAGCATAGGGAAATGATGTAATGAATATTCATGCAACCATCACCCAGGTCAATACATTTAGACCTCATTGTTGGCTACCTGTCACTTCACTTCAGCAGGGCGCCCCCCACGTGCTTTTTTTATTCTCTTCTGAGTGTGGCCAAGCTGGAAATGTGGAAGGGAATCCCAGTGAGCAATGCACATTCTAGAACAGCACCCCAGTTCAGGCAATGTGCTGTCATACCTTGTTCTGAGCATCTCTTACGGAAAACATATTTCAAAATGTTATTGTATGTTTAGATTTCACTACTTTGACAGTAGAATATTACACTCCTGAGCGCAGGGAAGCTTTTTGTGCATTCATTTTTGTATCTCCAGAACCTAAAACAGCAACTGGCACACAGTAATTATTTGTTAAAGAAATGAGTGAATTTTACTGACGACACATTTCCTACTTTTTGCTCTGAAAACCTCGAGGCATTGCAAAAAATGCCATAAAATATTAATCTTATCAGAATGCATGTTATTATATTGAAGCAAAATCTGGCTCCTTCTGCTATTACTTGGATTGTCAGCATCCTCCCAGGTACAGAGGGTAAAGACTGGCTCCCCAGGGGCACTAGTAGAAGGTGCTAGAGCCTTTGATGGGTGTGGCCTAGCGGGAGGTCTTTAGGTCATTGGGGATGTGGCCCTAAAGGGATGTGGGGCCCGGTCTCTTCCTCATTCTCTTTCAATTTAACCACAAAGGAAGTAGATTTGCTTTGCCATGTGCCACTGCCCTGATGGGCTGCTACAGGCCCCAAACAATGGGTACAACTAATCACTGAAGGAAACTTCTACAACTGTGAGCCAAAGTAACCTTTTCTCTTTATAAACTGGTTATTGCAGGTATTGTGTGTTATAGTGACAGAAAGCGAACACATCCTCCAACAACTTCTTACTCATTTCATTTCTGTCCACTTCCTTGTCTATCCCTGTGGATATTCCCATCTGCCCCAACACCCAGACAGGAATATCCACCTTTCCAAGACAGGTGTCCTCCATCCTGTCAGCAACCTGTCTGACCACATGGTTTGCTCACAACTCTCTGTTTTTTAATCAGTCTCTCCTAAAAGGCAGCCACGTAAATGGAGCACAGTATTATTTCAGGTGCAGTGCAGTAAGTGGTAAATGAATCACTTCCTGTAGCTTGCACCCTGCGGTCATCGCAAGGCCAGGTTTACCTTGACATTTTCAGAAGACACATAACCCAGGTGAATGTGGCTCAGGTCCGTCAAAGGAAACAACGAGGTCTTTTTCTATGAATCATCACTGTGCACAATTGATTTTTACCCTTTGGGGTTCATTTACTAGGAAGGCTTTGGGTTTACCTCGCATTTACTTCTGTAAAAATGGCTGCCAGCCAGGTGTTCTGAGCAGAGCCATCCGTGACCTGCCCTAGAACCCTGTGGTGACCGGAGAAGCTGGGCGGAGGGCCACAATCTGGGCGTCTGTGGGTGGGATGCGGGGACATGTGGCTTCACTGGAGCCCCTCCCCTCCACAGCTCCCTGCGAGCCAGCCCCCGGGCTCAGTGGTCTTAGGGAACAATTGTGTCCCATGGGCCCCATTAACGGATCTGTCAGGGGACATGTGTTGGCAACAGGGCATTGGCCGGTTCCTCTCTGTCCATCTTAAACATCGTGAGTGAGCCTCCCAAGTCTCCTTTCAGGTTGTGGCTGTGTGAGCAGGGTCGAGTGCAGACAGCTCTGACAGGTACCTGCAGGGCTTTTCATGAGCCGTGCGTGAACCTAAATAAATACTCAGCCAGATGCCAGCTTGCCAGTGATTGGCTGGGGAAGATCTTGTCAGGTGGTTGGCTGAAACAGAAATGCAGGGTTCCTCAACTCCCTGTCCTGAATCCCACTCAAGAAAGACATAAGCCAGGCATGGTGGTGCACACCTGTAATTGCAGCACTGTGGGAGGCTGAGTCAGGAGGATCACAAGTTTGAACCCAGACTGGGCAACTCAATGACTTAGTGAGACCTAGTCTCAAAATGAAAAATAAAAAAGTAGGGTTGGGTATGTAGCTCACGGTGAAGGCCTTGGGTTCAATCCTCACTACCAGAAAGAAAGAAAGAAAGAAAGAGGTAAAAAAGGAAGGAGCATTAATTCTGATTTATTTTTAGTAACTGTTGACTTTCCACAACTACTGCATTCTTTTCTAAGTTCTCACAGCCATGAATTTAATAATATACCAGTGCTGGGTGTGCTGGCATATGCCTGTAATCCCAGCACTCAGGAGGTTGAGGCAGGAGGATCATTGTGAGTTAGAGACCAACCTGGGCTACAAAGTGAGCTCAAGGTCAGCCTGAACTGCAGAGCAAGACCCTGTCTCAAAAAGACAAAAAAGGAAAAAAATGTACCAGTAAAGATGTGTGTAAATAGGTCCCTTTAAAGGGCCATCACTTCCAAAGAGTCTCAGACTTCCTCAAAAGTCAGAGACCTCAGTCCTATTAAGGTCACATATCTATGGCTAGCATTATTTGCAATATTCCCCAATTATTTAAATAAGCTTAATGGTGTAAGTGAATCCTATTTTAATAAAACCTCAGATACCACAATATCTTTCAAAAGAATAGTAAGATGTTAAAAGAGCAAAACAACAAAAATACTGAAAGGAAGCTGGGTGTGGTGGCACACACATGTAATGCCAGTACCCTGGAGGCTGAGGCAGGAGGATTTCTGGGAGTTCGAGGCCAGCCTGGGTTGCACAGAGTTTAAAACCAGCCTGAGCTACATCTTTTTAAAAAGAAAATACTGAAAGGAAGTCTCATAGATGTCAAGCTGAAGCTTCCTAAGGTAACAAAAGAGAGGCAGTGTGAAATCTGATTTCCACAGGACTCCTCAGAAACATGTTCTGTGTATTAAGAGAGATCTGCAAGCTCTGAAGCCAAGCGGAGGCCTGGACAACAAGGGAGCTGGACCAGCTGCCGACCACCGGCTCTTCCATGTGCTTCTGACCAGAAAGCTTTGTTACTGCCTGACGTGATTGCAATTTTCTCCTCCCTCTGCCTGCTGTCTGTCGAACTGAATGGATAATGACATTTTTATTTGGGTTAATGTGATATGAGATGGGGCATGTAATATGAAAAATGTTTCAAGAAGCAACGTGGAGAACATATTATAAGACAGTGGAGCAGGATCCGTGTGTTGGCCATTAGCCATTATTTCAGATTTTCTTCTTTTGCCTTATGCACAGCAGTTCTGGAATATTTACTCTCACATGAGTTGCATACAAACAAAAGCGCTCTTTGATGGGCTTGCATAATCTTTACACAAACCCAGCCATTCTTCCCTAGGTTTTTGTACAAACTTGCACATGCCAATAACTATACAGTACTGCTCTCAGACCTTAATTGTAAGACTCTAATTTGGTTGTTACTTTTCATCTTCTTTGTTGACAGTGAGTGATTTTTTTTTTCTTTTTCTTTTTTTTGGCTGTACTAGGGATTGAACCCAGGGTCTTCAAATGAAGCTATATCCCCATCGGGATCTTGCTAACTTGCTAAGTTGCCCGGGCTGAGCTTGAACTTGCATCCCCCTGCCTCTGCCTCCCAGGATGCTGGGATTAGAGGCATGCACAATCACGCCAGTCATGGTGAGTGATTTTAAAAATTTTATTCCAAATTTTTCATAACATACATTCATTGTACCTATTATCATATAATATAAATAATGTTAATAGACATCTAAAAATGATTTCTTGGGGTTGATACAGACTGTACATTTGTGTGCCTCCCTAAATTCCTATGTTGTTGTAACTCCCAGTGTAGCTGTATTTGGAGATAGGGCCTCTTAGGGAGTCACTAAAGTTAAACAAGGTCTTAAGTGTAGGGCCTGATCTGAAAGGATTAGTGTCCTCATAAGAGGCACCAAAGTATTCTTTCTGTCTGTCTTTCTCTCTTTCTCTCCTTTGTCCTCTCTCTCTTGTTCTCTCCCCTTTCCCCTCCCACTCACAGGGAATAGGTCACATGAGCACACAGCAAAATGGCGGCCACCTATAAAACAGGAAGCAGAGGCCTCACCAGAAACTAACCATGCTGGCACCGTGTCTCCAACCTCAAGGCTCTAAAACTGTGAGAAACTGTCTGCTGGTTAAACCTCCCAATCTGTGGTATTGTGCCAGAGCAGTCTGAGTTGACCAAGATTGGGGTGACAGTCCAGCAGCCAAGCCTGGGGAGACTTCTTCATTTTCCTTGGCTGTCCCCACTGGAGGCAATGCCGTACGGGTGGCTGGGAAGCTATTTGGCAACAAGCCATAACTACAGAGCGCAAAGCATCACACTCAGTCTTGGGAGGAAATTCCC